GAATCCAAACAGAAGGATTCAGGAGTGTAGAGTAATTAAAACAGTATTTATAAAAGTTTGCAAATGTTGCACCCAATTGCTTATTTTACTTGAGACAGAATTTACAAATGCTGAATACAAATGAGATAGAAGGAATTTTATGAGTGTTTTAGAATGCACCACAGCTTATATGACTATAAAAATGGGAATGTCTTTAACATATCATTTAGTGGCAAATTTATCATTGTTTAGCTCTTTTTCTCCTCTTTCTTTCTCTTCCTCTTTCTTCCTCCCTTTCTTTTTCTCTCCCTCCTCCCACTCTCTCCTTTCTCTTTTACTTAATTTTATCAATATAAATCATTAAGCATATCAGAACTTTGGTAAATCTCATGCTTGGAATACACCATGAGTAATTATGTTTTTTCTTCTATTGAAAGATAACACAAATTGACTTTTTCTAGATATTTCTAAACACCTAGAACTTTCAGTATTCTGTATTGGTAATCTTGATAGCAAGTCAGGTCTTTTTGATTTTGCTTTTGCTTTTTTTTTTTTTTTTTTTGATTTTATTCATTTGAGAGAGTTACAGACAGAGGGAGAGACAGAGAGAAAAGTCTTCCATCTGCTGATTCACTCCCCCAGTGGCCACAACGGCCAGAGCTGGGCCGACTGGAAGCCAAGAGCTTCCTCTGGGTCTCCCACATGGGTGTAGGGGCCCAAACACTTGGGCCATCTTTCACTGCCCTGCCAGGCCATTAGCAGAGAGCTGAATCAGCAGAGGAACAGCCAGGACAGGAACCGGAGCTCATATGGGATGCCAGCGCTGCAGGTGGAGGCTTAGCCTACTACACCTCCTGATTTTGTTTTTAAGAGAATGACTAAAATCTTTGTTAAAGCTGGTGAAGAAAGAGTCACATTATAATTGTGCATACACACCTATGAGTCAATTTTGAGCTAAGATTATTGATGATTACATTTTAAAAATTTTCTTCAAAAATTTAGGGAATTATTTAGATAAACATTTTCCCAGGAATGATTAAGTACTACAATATTCAATTATTTGCACTATTTTAAATCAAAGCTGATTTGACATAATTTTCTACTGAGCTTTTCAGCAAAATGTTACTATTATATCACTGGAATGATTTCCCACCTAACAATATAAGTTTCTTGCTAATATTTGTAGGAAAATCTTAATTGTACAGTATAACATATCTTGATACTTAGAAGAATTCTTTCTCTTTTTGGGAGATTGAACAGCTAAGCTAGCCTATTGATTATTTTTGGAGGTACTGGGGTCCTAATTATGCTTGTACTGTAGACATTCAAATCCTGTTTGATGTTTTATTATCTACTTGCTTCCAAAAGTATTGAAAACAAAGTGTAAAAATTGGAGGAATGAATAATAGTGCTCATATATACAGTGATCAAGATTTTATTACAAGCAAAAAAATCTATTCTAAAGTTTTGAACAGTTTTCGCAGATAGGCCTCACAGAGATATATATTTACTTATGTTCAGTGTTTTCTTTGAACATATTAGGCACAAATTGATTTACTACTTTTAGAGTTAAAAGTCCATTAATATTTCTAATAATGATAAATATTGAGGCATTTGGAATGTATTTCTAGTATTTTATGACAAAACTTAGTACTTTTCACTATGATGTCTTTTATCTTTGATTTTTTAAAAAGATTTATTTATTTGAAAGGTAGAATACAGAGAGGGAGAGACAGAGAGACACAGAGAGATCTTCCATCTGCTGTTTTACTCACTATATGGCCACAATGACCAGGGCTGGGCCTGACTGAAGCCAGGAGCTAGGAGCAAGGAGCTTCATCCTGGTCTCCCATGTGGGTACAGGGGCCTAAGGACTTGAACCATCTTCTGCTGCAGTCCCAGGTGCATTAGTAGGGAGCTGGATTGGAAGTGAAACAGCTGGGACTTGAACCAGTACTCATATGGGATGCTGGTGTTAAACATGGTGGCTTAACCCACTATGCCATAATGCTGGCTCCTGTCTGATTTTTGAAAACAGTAAGCAATGTATTGTTTAAAATATTTTCCTAGTAGTGATTTATAAATAATTAGTCTCTTAGACTTAAAAAAGTGGATCGGATGTAGAATTTTTTTTTTTTTTTTTTAGTTAGGCACAGAAATGACAAAGTGTGTCCAGTGTACTCAGCACTTTGAAAGTAAATGTAAATAGCTGGATTTGTTCTAAGATATTAAAGAATTTGAATTCTTGGGTTCAATTGCCTATTCTGGATCATAACTCTATATCTAAATTCTCTCTTAAATTCTATTAATTGAATTTTCTGATCATCAGCTTCTCCCTCTGTAATATGACAGTAACAATAGCCAAGTCATAGTGCTGGGAGGATTATATACCACAGAACTCTTAGAACTCTTACAGTGATTGTTGTACCTTTGATCTTCAGGTAGTGTTAGTGTAGCTAGAGATTAAGAAACACATTGGTAGTAATGGAAAGACCTCATGCTGTCATTTGCTTCCTGTTGTATACAATACCAGGAGACCATGGGATTCACCATGTGAGGCTTCTGAGGCTCTGATAAGAGTTTCAACACAAAGTGCTCCATTACTGCCAGCTGTTTGCATTTCTGTGCCTGAGATTTCTCTCTAAAAGAGAAAGGCTCTCTGCCTATAAAGTGAGCCAGAGGTGCAGAGTTATTTACATCCTCTGGCAATTTCCCTGGGCTATGTCCTAAGCTGTAGTTGCCTACAGTGTTTTCTGACTTAATGATGTAAACTTTATTGGCTGTCTTATTTTCCTTGTTGCTCTTGCCTACCCCATGTCAGTGATTCTGGCACTTCTCATATAAACTATTTGCACAGAAATCCTTGTCTTAGAGTGTGCTTCTAGAGAAGTTCAAACTAAGAGAATATTAATGTAGACTGAACAGTTCTGATAAACTCAATACTTATTGTGCTATTTTTGATAAATGCTATGAGAAAGTTAGGCATAAAGTTCAATCAGGGCATAGATAAGGGAAGAAGTAATTATTAAATATATGAGACTCAAAGAGGTCTACAGGGAGGTGAGGCTATTTGAGCAGAGTTTGGAGGATGAGAAAGAGTTCATGGGCATCAGAACCAGAGAGAGGCCTCCCAGGCAGCTGAAACAGCATGAGCAATAAGAGTGAACAGGCATGAAATACTCAGAAGGATGAGTAGCCCAGTGTGACTAAAAGGGAATGGCAGGCCGGACCTCTGGGACACATGGAAAAAGCTGAACTCATGTGTTAGCTTTGTTCTTGTGGCAGTGGGTGGGCATAAAAGCTCTTTAAGATAACAATGAGTTGATTACAAATGCACTTTTAGAAGAGCAGGGAACGAATTGAGCTTAGAAATGACCTGTGCAGAAAAACCATTTAGGAGGCTGTTGTCTAGTTGAGAACAGTAGAGGGTTTTATCCAGGAGAAAGGCAGTTTGAATGGGAAGGAATTTCCTTATGCTAGAGACTGGAAATAAGTGATAAGGGAAGAGAACAGTCTAGGATGATCCTAGAGTTTCCAGGGTAAACAAATTTTTGGATTGTGATGCTTTTATCAGAAGTCAAGGAATGCAGGGGAAAGTGAATATGCTTCCACAAAGTGATGATGAAAGTAGTTCTGGATATGACATTTGAGTGAATGGAAAGTTGCAGTGCAGGCAGCAAAAATCAGTGTCACACATAAATCAAGTCAAAGAAGACTCATGCCCAGAGGCCTGTGAATCTGAGACTCCCTCTGGACTGTCTTCCAGCTGTGCTCTCTCCAAGGGGCACAGGATTGTGTCTACCCAAGAGCCTACATTGTAGCCCCTGTGTACCCAGGACCCGGAACACTGCTCAGATGGCCCCAAACACACCCTTAGAATCCCTAAGGATCCCTTAGGATTCCTGGCTTTAAGCGAAGTCCTTCCTCCCAAACTTAGTTCTTATTACCCTGTTATACCTATGTAGGCCCAACAGACAATCAGTGGATAGCTATTTGCTGTGGCTATGAAGGGATGCAAGCTGGGCCTGCAAGCTGAAGAGTCTACTCAGGGCATGGTATGGGCGAGTTGATCGTGGGAGGAGAAAGAGGTGAGGCCACAGGATGACAGCTGGGAGCAAGCTCTTCCTGAGTCATCATGCAGAACTTTGAGAAATCCAAAAATTCTAAATTCAAACTTGTCCTTCCTCATCAGTATGAAATATGAGTATTTCAAGGTAGGAAGACACACACACACATGAATATTGTTAGCTTAATTTATACTGTTAAGCATTTAGACAAATAGTATGTAGATATCCATTTACACTTTTGGTGTTTGCCCTTCAAATGTTAAGACTAGTTTCAGTGAAATCAGCTGACTTTTGTATTGATATGGAAGAGAAACCAAAAGACTTTTCTTAAAGTACATTGGATTTGAAGATAAACTTGGACTTCAAAACTATCACTTATTCATGGTCAGCAACCAGAAGTGATGATATTGAGTTTAAAAACAACATAGTGAGTTCAGTTTTAAGTTTCTGGCCTTGTATGTTTCCTGTCTCAATTTTCTTTGTAATAATCGATATGAAACTGTATTGAGCACTGTGGTGAATGTGATAAACATATTACCTTATTCACTTTGAGCTCACTTCTATAGATAACAAGATAACTTTCAAAAGCTCTTATTACAGAATTGATGAAAAAGATTCTTTATTAAGCTAGAATCATAGATTTGCTTTAAGAATATAGCATAAAAATATTACCTTCTTTTACCTTTGGAAAAATGCAGAAAATCTGGAAAATGAGACATTTTCCTGTCCGGCTAAGTGAGGACACTAACTTTCTATTCTGAAAAAAAAAAAAAATACGTCCTCTCTAGCACACATTTCACTCGTGGACGGAAAGACCGAGCAATGTTATAAACGTGACTTTACTCTCAGTGAAATTTCTTCCTTCAAAGATTGAATGCCTTTTATCAGCATCAGGATCTAAATTGCTTGGAATTCTTTTTTGTTTTGATGTTTCATGGAATTCATTTTCATCATATTGTATATCTTGTTGCTGTAGATTTACACATGTGAGTTTGTTTTCTTGGACTCAACTTCCTAAGAAGTACCCATCCGGACTTCAAAATGATCTTTCCCTCTGCGTAAATTAAAGCAGGCTGCCCAGCAAACTGTGTGTCCAGCTGGCCAAAGGCTCCCTAGCAAAGGGACACCAGAGATTCTGTGGTAGGTATAAGATAAACATGCTTTTATTTAGGTTTTGCTGATACTCTGGTTGTTTAAAAGTTGGGAAATTTTTTTTCCTTGCTTTGGGCTGTTCTTAAAAAAAAAAAAAAAAAAAACCAAACAATCATCCAGTGGGCCTGTGGCTTTGATCTTTGTTTTTATATTTTGTTATACAAGGCTCAAAGTCTTACAGCTTGTTGTGTTTCATACTTTGTCAGATCAAGCTCTCTCCCCACATATTACCCACAGATGGCTGGAAGTAAGAACATAAAGGGAAGGTAGAGTGACTTAAAAATTGACATCTCCCATAAATCCTGAGACACTGCTGTATAAATATTGGCATACTTTTGCAGGTGCTAAAACAGAATTCTGTGGCCTTTCACCTGGCATAATTAACTTCCTTTTATTCTCCACTGTTTACCATTTCTTTTCCTAACCTTTGTTTTTCACAACAGTCCTTTGGGACGAAATCAAGTAAGTTATACAGACACCTGCATGCCACTAGGCAAACAACAGCTTCATTCAAGCCCCAGGACAAGGCTCCCACAAGCCAATGCTTCAGATTCCCCCAAATGCTGGTTGTGCTAGGATGATAAATCATGAGGAGAGGCTGTGAGTCTCTGGAGGAATGCATGAGTGGTTTGCTAATTTTGACACTCAAAGGAACATTAGTACATTGGATGACTTAAAAATACAAAACTGCTTTTAAATTCATTTGTGAAACTCTTTGTGTATGGATTTCTATGTGTTCCCCATGGTACATATTTTTGGAGTCCATGGGATCATATCTCTTATGAAAGGAAACTGGGCTAAACATTATTATAATTTTTTCATTAATTTTTTAAAATTTTATTTAAGTTATGCAAGTTTCATGTATTTCATATATGCAGATTTAGGAATGTAGTGATACTTCCCACCTTACCCCTGCTCCCACCCATGCTCCAACCCTTCTTCCTCCTCCCTCTCCCATTTCCCTCTTAATTTTTACAAAGATCTACTTTCAGTTTACTTAATGATTATAAAGTTAACCCTACACTAAGTAACAGAGTTCAGTAAATAGTATGAAGATATAAAACACTGTTTCTCAACAGAAAACAGCTGTAAACAATCATCAAATCTCAAAATGTCCATTTCATTCCAATATGTTACATTTTAGGTACTCTATTAGTTACCACAGATCAGGGAAAACATATGGCATCTGTCTTTTTGGGACTGTCTATTTCACTAAGCATAATGGTTTCCAGTTGCATCCATTTTGTTGCAAAAGAGAGGATTTCATTTTTTTCTTTGCAGCTGTGTAGTACTCTATAGTGTATATATACCATAATTTTTTCTCCAGTCAAAAGTTGATGGACATCTGGGTTGATTCCATATCTTAGCTATTGTGAATTGAGCTGCAATGAATATGGGGATATAGATAACTCTTTCACATGCTGATTTCTTTTGGTTTGAGTAAATTTCTGGGAGTGGGATGGCTGGGATATATGCTAGATTTATATTCAGATACTGTCTTCCAGAGTGGCTACACCAGTTTATATTACCACCAACAGTGGATTAGGGTACCCTCAGCAGCATTTGCTGTCTGTTGATTTCTGTATGAGAGCTATTCTAACTGTAGAGAGGTGAAACTTCATTGTGGTTTTGATTTGTATTTCCCTGATGGCTAGTGATACTTTTCAAGTATCTATTGGCCATTTGTATTTCCTCTTTTGAAAAATGCCTATTCAAGTCCTTCGCCCATTTCTTAACTGGATTGTTTGTTTTGTTGTTGAGTTTCTTGAGATGTTTATAGATTCTGGATGTTAACCCTTTATCAGTAGAATAGTTTGCAAATATTTTTTCCCATTCTGTTGGTTGCCTCTGCACATTGCTGAGTGTTTCTTTTGCAGTGCAGAAGCTTCTCAGCTTGATGTAATCCCATTTGTTAATTTTGGCTTTGATTGCTTGTGCTTCTGGAGTCTTTTCCAAGCAGTCTTTGCCTATGTCAATGTCTTGCAGAGTTTCCCCAATGTTCTCTAGTATTTTGATGGTATCATTTCATAGATTTAGGTCTTTGAGCCATTTTTAGTGGATTTTTTTATTAAGATTTAAGGTAGGGGGTCTAGTTTCACACTTCTGCACATGGAACGCAGTTTGAAAACCAGCAGCAGTTGTTGAAGAGACTGTTCTTGCTCCAAGGATTGATTTTAGCTCGTTTGTCAAAGATAAGTTCGTTGTAAATGTGTGGATTGATTTTTAGAGTTTCTGTTCTGTTTCAGTTGGTCTGTTTTCGTGCCAATATTAGGCTGCTTTGATTATAACTGCCCTGAAACATGTCTTGAAATTTGATACTGTGATGCCTCTAGCTTTGTTTTTGTTGTATAAGATTGCTTCAGCTATTCAGGGTCTCTTGTGTTTCCATATTAATTTTAGCATCATTTTTTTCTAGATCTGGGAGGAATGTTGTTGGCATTTTGATTGAAATTGCATTGAATCTGTTAATTGCTTTAAGTAGTATGGACATTTTGATGATATTGATTCTTCCAATCCATGAGCATCAAAGATTCTTCCATTTTTAAATGTCTTTTTCTATTTCTTTCTTTAATATTTTGTAATTTTCATTGTACAAATCTTTGACATTCTTGGTTAAAGTTATTCTAAGGTATTTAATTCTTTTTATCACTATTGTGATTGGGATTTATCGTAAAAGTTCTTTCTCAGCTGTGGCATTATCTGTCTATATAAAGGCTACAGATTTTTGTCTGTTAATTTTATATCCGACCACTTTACCATACTCTTTTTTGGGTTCCAGTAGTCTCTCAGTGGAGTCTTTTGGGTTCCTTTGCATATAGATTCATGTAATCTGAAAATAAGGATAGTTTGACTTCCTCCTTCCAAAATTTGTATCCTTTTGATTTATTTTTCTTGCCTAATGGCTCTGGCTAAAACTTTCAGTACTATATTAAATAACAATAGTGAGAGTGGGCATTCTTGTCTCATTCAGGATGTAGGGGGAATGCTTCCAGCTTTTCTCCATTCAGAAGGATGCTGGCTATAGGTTTGTCATAAATTGCCTTGATTGTGTTGAGGAATGTTCCTTCTATACCCAATTCACTTAAGGTTTTCATTGTGAAATGATATATTTTATCAAACGCTTTCTCTGAATCTATTGAGATAGCCATACAGTTGTTGTTCTTCAGTTTGTCAATGTGATGTGTCACATTTATTGATTTGTGAATGTTGAGCCATCCTTGCTTTCTAGGGAAGAAAATCTCAATTAGTCTGGGTGAATGATCTTTCTGATTTGTGTTGGATTTAATTAGCTGATATTTTGTTGAGGATTTTTGCATCTATGTTCATCAGGGATATTGGTCTATAGTTCTCTTTCTCTGTTGTATCTTTTTCAGGTTGAGAAATTAAGGTGATGCAGGCTTCATAGGAGTTTGGAGGGTTCCCTAGCTTTCAATCATTTTGAATAGCTTGATAAGAATTAGAATTAGTTCTTCTTTAAATGTTTGGTAGAATTAAGGAGTGAAACTGTCTGGTCCTGGGATTTTCTTTGTTGGGAGTGTCTTGATTCAATCTCCTTCTTGGTTACTGGTCTGTTTACATTTTCTATGTCTTCAGGACTCAATTTTGGTAGATTATATTTGTCCAGGAATCTATCCATTTGTAGGTTTCCCAATTTGTTGGCATACAGTTCTTTATAGTAATTCCTGATGATTTTTTTTATTTCTGTGGTATCTGTTGTTACATTTTCTTTTTCATCTCATTTTATTGATTTGAGTCTTCTCCCTTTTTTTTTTTTTTGGTTAGTTGAAATTTGTAACCTTTGACCTACACCCTCTCCTCACTGTCTCTGATAACTATCATTCCACTGTCTTCTCCATGAGTTTGACTTCTTCTTCTTCTTCTTTTTTTTTTTTTTTTGACAGGCAGAGTGGACAGTGAGAGAGAGAGACAGAGAGAAAGGTCTTCCTTTGCCGTTGGTTCATCCTCCAATGGCTGCTGCAGCTGGCGCGCTGCGGCCGGAACACCACACTAATCTGAAGGCAGTAGCCAGGTGCTTCTCCTGGTCTCCCATGTGGGTGCAGGGCCCAAGCACTTGGGCCATCCTATACTGCACTCCTGGGCTACAGCAGAGAGCTGGCCTGGAAGAGGGGCAACGGGACAGAATCCGACACCCCGACTGGGACTAGAACCCAGTGTGCCAGTGCTGCAGGCGGAGGATTAGCCTATTGAGCCGCAGTGCCAGCCAAGTTTAACTTCTTTATATTCCATATATAAATAAGATCATGAGGTTATATTTGTCTTTCTGTGTCTCACTTATGTCATTTAACACAGTGTCCTCCAGTTTCATCCATATTGTTGCAGATGAGATTTCTTGTTTTCATGGCAGAATAGTTTCCCATTGTGTATATATGTGTATTTACATCACATTTTTTTTACTCCATTTAGCTGTTGATAGACATTTAGATTGATTCCATATTTTGGCTCTTCTGAATAATGCTGCAGTGAACATGGGAGTACAAATATGTCTTCAACATACTCCTTTTATTTTTTGAACATATACTCAGTGATAGAATTGCTGGATCTTCGGATATTTTTATTTTTAAATTTTCTGAGAAAATTCCAACATGTTTTTTATAATGGCTGTAAGCTTGGGTTTTTATGATGCTTAGAAGGTGAGGACAGAGTGAGGTTATTGTATGTAGTTTGAACTTCCTCCTGGTATTAAAGAAGGGGGCACCTGTGTTTTTTGTTCAGTTTACACAGGTGCAGGAAAGAATAGGAAAAGAGAGGCATGAAACTTAAAAGCTGTCAGCAAACATTAACAAATGGAGCTAGACTCTTTATTACATTGGATCTCTGGGAATTAAAATAGCCAATCCTCTCAAAGCCCGCGTGTCACTTATTCTCTAGTGCACAGTTTTTCTTTGGGAAAAAGATTTGGAAAACAGATTTACCATGTATTTTTTGTGTTCATGTTGAGAGGAGTCTTCTCATGATGATCTACTATT